GAAATCACATATGGCTTGTCCTTAATGATCTTGGGCTTATTGTTCAATTCAGTTAATGCAAGGAAATGGTAGAAACTACGTAACACCTCACTGAAAGCTGGGAAAATTTAGCACCCACAAAATACCCTGGTGGCCAGAATCATACATCAGAAACTTTCTATCTTTCATAAAATAATAGATGACAAATCTCCATATAAAAAATACAGACTTCAAAAGATCCTTGAGAATTTACCAAACAAATTGTAGTGGAACCAAATCATTATCACAGACAGAGACATTGGCCCCAATTGCCTGAACAAGACATTGATTTGAAAACACTCATAAAGTCCAAACTAAATGGCAAAGTTTCCAGAATGTAGAAACCCAGCAGAAGAAATAAAAAAGAATGCGGGAACAGGATGAAGTACATATCATCCCAGCATTCTGTCCACTATTGAAATAATCCCAAAGATATTTTCAGAAGATGAGCTTTTATCTTAATTGTTTCATTCAATTACAGATGAACAAATATGTTATCTATTTATGCAATACTCCAGAGAACATTAAAAGTAAAAAATAACAATAGGGTGGGGAAGCTAGGTGGAGCTGTGGATAAAGAAAGCACTGACTGGGTCCAAAGTCCGGAAGACTCATCTTCATGAGTTCAAATCTGGCCACAGACACTCACTAGCTGTGTGACCTGTTTGCCTCATTTTCCTTACCTGTAAAATGAGATGGAAAAAGAAACAGCAAACCACGCCGGTATCTTTGCCAAGAAAACCCCAAATGAGGTCATGAAAAGTCCAACACAGTTGAACAACAAATAGCAGGATAATTCCTTGTCTCAGGACTATTAATATCTGCGCTTCATTGAAAAAGATAAGAACAAGATAAATAATAATTATAGAATTTCATGTATATAGCAGTTAGAGAGGGCTTTTTGGGGTTGCAATAGTAACAGCAGCCACAGCTGGCTCATTTCCTTTCTTTGTAACCTAGAGAGAAGAAGGCTGTCATATTATTATTTAATTAATTAAATGCTGAGCAAAGAAATATAATATAAAATTTGGCCACAAGTTGGCACTGTCTTCAGACCACCAGCCAGGGGGTAGAGTCAGAGAACATTCAATGTGGGCCACTAGCTTCCCAAGAGGCTGCGGTATTATAATATTCCCCACTGCTAACTAAAGAGTGGGGCAGCTAGGTGGTGCAGTGGTTACAGCACTGGCTTGGAATCAGAAAGACTCATCTTCCTGAGTTCAAATCCAGCCTCAGACACTTACTAGCTAGCTATATGACCCTGAGCAACTCACTTAACCTCTATTTGCCTCAGTTTCCTCATTTGTAAAATGGGCTAGAGAAGGAAATGGCAAACCGCTCTAGTATCTCTGCCAAGAAAACCCCATTGGGATCATGAAGAATCAAACACGACTGAATGACAACAAACTTAAAAGTACTCAGCTTAAATCCTTACGCTACTATCTTTTCCACTGCCCTGGATTGGGCCAGGGCTCACAATTGTGGTGGTTAGATTCAGTTTAGTCTGAAGAAAAGAAATGGAATGTTACTCTGAAATATGGGACATAGGAAAATCTCAATACGGCTCTCTTTGTGGTTTCACCTCCACCCAGCATTTGGGAAATCTGCTCTCTATCAACTATTTATTCATAAGACTTAGACAAAATGACTTAAATGGATGACTTTTTTTTTTAGTGTCCTTGTGATTTATTAACATAAGGTAAAGTGATGATAAAAGAGCACAACAAACCTGTAAAGAAACTTCTCTACCCAACTGTCTCTCTCTTCAAACCTCTTTCCAACAAGCGGATGGGAGAAAGAATAAGGGAATGGACAGCGTGTTGTTTGGAAACTGACTCTGAAGATGTCCCAGAACAATAAGGAGGAAATCCCGGTGATAGGGATTGAGCTCTTGGCTCAGTCTCCCTGGTGGCTGAGGTTTCATGGCAACTACTGGGTTGATCTTTCCTGGACCTTACTCTATTTCACTACTACAATGCCCAATCTTGCTGTGTTGGCCCCATGTTGTTCCCAGGTCATTCATAGCCTTGATCCAGGCTTTGCTTTATATCTGCATGTTTCCCTGCAGGTCTAAGGATCTTTCCCCACTCATCCTTCAGGATGCTCAGTTGAGACTGCAGTGACAGTGGCTCCTTCAGCCATGGAGAGCAGAAAATGGCTAGCAGTGGGAAATTAGGGGACCTCCTCCTACCTTGCCAGTAGTATGGAAAGAGTGACCTGGAATGGCAGAATTTTTTTTTCAGGGATGGTGCTGATGATTATGATAATAATAGTAATAGCTAGTATTTATATGGTGATTTAAGGTTTGCAAAGCACTTTACAAATATTAACTCATCTTATCTTCACAACTCTGGGAAATAAATGCTATTATTATCACCCTCTTTTTAAAGAGGAGGAAACTGAGGCAAATAGAGGTTAAGTGACTTGCCTAGGGTCACACAGCTAGTAAGTGTCTAAGGTTGGATTTGAACTTAGGTCTTCCTGACTCTGGGTCCTGCAAAGACAAGTAAATTGATGATTTGAGGAAACATAATTCCTATCTACCCCAAGCTTTCTCATTGATCCATTTCTCCTTCTGGGAGGCATTAGGAACATCTGTTACTTTTACATTTTTTCATTTAAATCTCATAGTGATCCTATAAGGTTGGTACTTCAAATATTATTACCCCCATTTTTAACATATGAGGATACTGAGGCTGAAAGAGAGTGACAAATAGCTAGTAAGTTTCAGAGAGTGCAATTTGAACCCATTTCTTCTGGGCTGAAAGTCCAGTGCTCTAACCATTAGGCAACCTACCTCTCAGCTATTCAAACTTGAATGCCAGGCTAAGAAGTTTGAACTTTATCTGGTGGGTATTAGGAAGCCTTTGAGAGATTTGATCAGACATTTAGCATGATCTGTGATCAGAACGTTAGAAAAAAATTAAGCTAGAATGGATGGGCAGAAAAACGGAGAGGAAGAGTGGGAAGACTCAACAATCATCTATTAATAAGTTCCTAAGCCCTTATGCTGTGCCCTGCACTCTGCTAGATTAGTGATACAAAAACAAAAATGAAACAATTCCTTTCCCCAGGGAGTTTACATTCTATCAAGTGAGACAATATGGACAGAAATAAGTAAATACAAAATATACATAAAGTAAATACAAAGTCATATTGTGTGGATAGTTGAGGGCTCTGCCGACTGTAGGAGATGATCTTTGAGCTGAGCCCAGAAGGAAGCCAGGGATTCAAAGATGCTCAGGGGAGGAGGGAATATATCTCAAACAAAGGGGTACAGTGCATGCAAAGGTATGCACGGAGACCAGAGATAAAATGTTATGTTACATGAAAAGGCCCTGGCATGACAATGGATTAGAAGAGGGGCTGAATGCAAAAAAGACGTGGAGACAGAAATAACTGGGTTTAACAACTAAATGTGGGGATGAAGGACAGGGAAGAATGAAAGCTGATAGCAATTCAATACCATGGGTGATTGGTACTGGCAGTGACAGAACACTGATAAAAATCGCAAGTCAGAAGGGAGGAATTAGGAAGAAGGCTGAAACGGAATGAATCTGGTTTGGGATATGTTGAGTTTTTGAGGCCTCATTTGAAACCTCCTTCAGAGAAGAGAGATCCATGTGGGCAGGAGATGCTCACTTCCATTACCAGAGGGAAAACTAGATTAAGACCTCAGTCAACAATCAGTCATGTAACCAGGCACTGTGCTAAGCCCTGAGGATACCAAAAAGGCAAAAGACAGTCCCTGCTCACGAGGAGCTCACACAAACAAGAATGTATAAATAAATTATACACAGGATAAACGGTGGGTAATCAACAGAGGGAAGGCACTAGAATTAAGAAGGACCAGGAAATGCTTCTTGTAGAAGGTGGGATTTTAGCTGTGACTTGAAGAAAGTCAGGAAAACCAGGAGGTGTAGGTAAAGAGGGAGAGCATTTCAGGCATGGGTGCCAAGGAAGCACCCCTGGATAACCCCAGAGCTAACAAAGGATCTGAGGGTTATCCAGGGGATTGGAGATAGAGTCTGAGTCCCAAAATATTGGGTGCCTTGGGTAAGTTTCACTGTCTCAGGGCCTCCACTAAGGTTTGTGTGTATACACACACACACACACACACACACATACACACACACACAGAGAATGGAAGATTCAGCTGCTGCCTCCATTCTTGTTGGGGTCTCAGAATATAACAATGATTTCCATTTACATGGGCAGCTAGGTGGTAGAGTAGATAGAGCATGGGAACTGGAATCAGGAAGACCTGATTTCAAATCCAGCTGCAGACACTGACCCTAGGCAAATCACTTCATTCTGTTTGCCTCAGTTTCCTCATCTGTAGAATGAGCTGGAGAAGGAAATGGCAAGCCACTCCAGTAGCTTTGCCAAGAAAGAGTCGGATATGACTGAAATACCTGAACAACAACACATTCCGTTTATATAGTTCTTGAAACCCTTTGCTCACAACAAACCCATGAGATAGGCTGAACAAATATGCTTATCTGCATCTTACAAATGAGGAAATTGGTTTCAGAAAGGTCAATAGAGTTGCCGAAAGTAAGTAGGAATACTGGGATTCAAACCCAGCTCTGTTGTCACCAAGTGCTCACTCCACTACCAGATGCTGCTCCCCCACAGCAACCTTTGTCTAATCTGCAAGGACTGAGGGGCTAAAGATGAGGAAGCCCAGAACATTCCAGGCACACAGTTCACGTAGGTACCATGAGACTTCTCCTTAACTTTAACCCTACCCACTATCAAGAGTGACGACTGCACAGGAGTTAATTGGTCTTAAAGTCTCTCTGTTATCTTTGGCTATATACGTAGCCTAGTAGCCTTAGCTGAGCAGAATCTACACAGCAGTTAATTGGTTTTAAAGTCTCTTTGTTATCTTTGGCTATTTGTGTAGTCTAGCAGCCAGTTGGGTGATCAGTGGCCACAGAGAGGTTGTCCCCCTTGGGCTCCCACTGACATCTTTCATCATGACTCAGTCTAAGTCCCTGGCCCAGGTCAGGGCCTGGATCCGAATCCGCAACCTCCTAGCCCGACAGTGCTTGGCTGAATTTCTGGGTGTCTTTGTACTCATGGTAGGTGGGGTTGGATGGGGGTAATCAGGAGGAAAGGAGGGTGGGAAATGAAATGATCTTTATTCTGACCTATCTTCCTGTCCTTTCTGTTCCTTTTCTTTTCTCGTCTTTTTCTGCCCTTTACCATCTCTCCAGTTTTCTCTGATTACCTCCTATACTACACTGTTCATTGTTCATCTTCTACTCTATCCCTTCTTTCCTTCTCCTCTCTCACCTTTCCTCTCCCTGTCCTCTCTCCCTTCATTGGCTCTTTCTCCCTTCCTCTTTCTTCCCATCCCTGTCTCTCCTCTTCCCCCCTCCCCATTTCTCTTGAAGCTTTCCCTGATTTCTTCTTTCTCCCCTTTCTCCCAATTTCTCCCCCAATCTTCCCTTCCTCTATTCCTATTCCTTCTCTCATCTCCCTTTTCTTTCCCTCCCCTCTCTTCACCAATTCTACCTTTTCTCCTTCTCTCCCTAATCTAATACTCCCCTACCCTTGTTACCTCTCTTTTTCTCCTCTTCCTTCCTCTCCTCTTTCCTCTTATTTTCTCCCTCCTCCTCACTTTTCTCTATTAGCTCATCACACAGGGGGCAGCGGCTCAGGCTGTTACCAGTGAAGAAACCAAAGGCAACTTCTTCACCATTTTCCTGGCAGGCGCCATGGCTGTGGTGATAGGCATCTACGTGGCAGGCAATGTCTCAGGTGAGTAAGGAGGCCCTGGATTGGAGGAGTGGCAGGAAGTGGATACTGCCCAAGTCACTGAATCATGGATATTATCTATTAGATGCTTTACATGATGTTGGCATGCCCTTGGGTCTCTCCAACCTTTCCCCACCCCCGGCTTTTCTACTCCACCTGCTTTCCCTAGTTCACTTTCTGAGTTTTCCTTGTTTTTTCTCTAGCTCTAACTTCATCTCTCTCCTCATGCTGGATCCTACTGGCAAAGAAGAGACCCTCACTGAGGAAGGGTGGGGCTTACTCTCTGTATATATTATCTTCCCAACCCATTCTAGACCGCTTGTCACTCCTCTATTTCTTCCTGAAACAACCTTTGTTCCCTCAGGGGCCCACCTGAATCCTGCCTTCTCCTTGTCCCTGTGCCTCACCGGTCGTCTACCTTGGGCCAAACTTCCCATCTACATACTGGTGCAGCTACTTGCTGCCTTCTCCGCTTCGGGAGTAACCTATGTCCTCTATTATGGTATGGAATAGCCTTTTCAAAGATTCAGAATTCATAAGAAAGAAGCCCAGACTATGGGGAGGTACCCTAGGGATGGAGATGGGGAAATCCAGTTCACACGTGGGAATGGGGAAGTTCCCTCTGAACACTGATAGGGAAGACCTTCAACTGAATGTCTGTTGCCTCTACTCTCTGAACCAGATGCTCTGCAGAACTATACTGGTGGAAACCTGACAGTGACTGGCCCCAAAGAGACAGCCTCTATCTTTGCCACCTACCCAGCCCCTTATCTGTCCCTGGGAAATGGCTTCCTGGACCAGGTGGGAGTAGAAGTGGGAGACCACACCAAAATGCCCAGTATTCTTCAACTGTCCTCCAGCATCCCCCCAGTCCCTACCCCCTTTCCTCTAGTACCCCCAACCCTTGTCTTTCTTCCATTATTGTTTTCCTAGGTCCTGTGCTATCTTCACATAGAATGGTTACTTGATCTCTTTGCCTTGGTACATCCCTCAGCAACCAAGGATAAAATCAAAGGGTGTGGGAAGTGAGTGTATGGGATATATAAAGATAGGGAGCAGCTTGGTGGCGCAGTGGCTAGAGCACTAGCCCTGGAGTCAGGACAACCTGAGTTCAAATCCAGCCTCAGACACATAACACTTACTAGCTGTTACTTAACCCCACTTGCCTCACAAAAAAAGAGAAAGATAAGGGTGTGGGGTGTGGGGCGTGGGGTGTGGGTGAAGCCTGAAAAGTACAGATGCAAGGGTAGTCACAGGGGAGCCCTGGAGCATCTAACAGGGAAACCTTTCTCCCAAGGTTCTAGGCACTGGCATGCTGATCATGGGCATCTTTGCCATCACAGACACCAAGAATAAGGGGGTGCCTGCGGGACTGGAACCAGTGGCAGTTGGGCTGCTGATTCTGGCCATCAACCTCTGCATGGGTGTCAACTGTGGTGTCCCACTCAACCCTGCTCGAGACTTCGGACCTCGGCTCTTCACCTATGTGGCTGGCTGGGGACCTGAGGTCTTTAGGTCAGTGTTCCCTACCCCCAGTATTCCCCTTTTTTACTATTAACTTACATTTAAATAGTACTTTATAACTTACAAAGTGTTTTTCCTTAGATATTTTTATATAATCCTCAAAACCCTGTGAAGTAGTGTACAGATTTTTTCCATTCCAGTTGGTGAAACCAAGTCGCAGAGAGGTTAAAAACAATTTGCTCAAGGTCTCATAGCTAGTAAGTGAGAGAAATGAGACTTGAACCTATGGCTTTTCCAGCCTTCTTTCTATTTTCCACACTGTCTCAAGTCTATCATCCTATATATTTCTTCTTTCCTTCCCAATTAAACTCATTGAGAAAGTCATCACACTAGGTGCCTCTAGCTCCTCTCCTCTCCTCCCCTTTTTTTTGTTTTCATTTTTTCCTTTTTGGTGAGGCAATTGGGGTTAAGTGACTTGCCCAGGTCCCACAGCTAGTAAGTGTCGTGTGTCTGAGGCCACATTTGAACTCCGGTCCTCCTGACTCCAAGGCAGGAGCTCTATCCACTGCACTACCTAGTTGATCCCTCCTCTCCCTTTCTTGTTAACGTTCTGCAATCTGGCTTCTGACTTCATCATTCAACTGAATCTCTCTCTCCAAAGTTACCAATAATCTCTTTCTTTTCGTTTTCTTTTTTTTTTTGGTAGGCAGTAGGGTTAAGTGACTTGCCCAAGGTCACACAGCTAGTCAGTGTGAAGTGTCTGAGGATGGATTTGAACACAGGTCCTCCTGACTCCAGGGCTGGTCCTCTAGCCACTGCACCACCTAGCTGCTCCTCCAATAATCTCTCAATCCCCATGTCTAACGGCCTTTTATTAACCTTCAGCTTTCTTGGCCTTTCTGCAGCACTGATAATGTCGATTACCTTCTCCCTCCTCTCTCGGTTTGTATGGCACTGCTCTCCTCTGGTTCTTCTCCCACCTATCTAATCATCCCTCCTCAGCCTCTTTTGCTAGATCTTCATCCATGCCATACCCATGAACCATAAGTCCTCCAAGCTTTGTCCTAGGCTCTTTTTGCTGTATCCTATCTCTCTGGATGAGCACATCAGCTGCCGTGGATTCAATTACCATCTCCATGAAGGTCTCTCTTCCGAGCTCCAGTCTTTTATCTCCAACTGACTTTTGGACATCTTGAACTCAAGGTTCTAGAGGAAACTCATACTCAATATATCCAAAATACAGAACTCAGATTTTCCTCCAAACTCTTTCCTCTTCTAAACTTCTTCATTATTGTTCAAGGTACCACCATCTTCCTGGTCATTCAGTCTCACAACATTGGTATCATTCTTTATTCCTCATTCCCACGTATTCCACAAATCTTGTCGTTTTTGTTATTTCTTGTCATTTCATTTGTGTCCCTTTCTTAGGCGCTCATCAGCAAGTATTTCTTCTTCTTTTTCTTCCTCCCCCTCCTCCTCCTCCTCTTCTGATGCCTCTCTCTACTATAAGGTGCCAAAATGATTTTTTAAAAGCAGAAGTCTGCTCATATCATCTTTCAAGAAATTATCATGGAAAACTGCCCAGATATAGTAGAACCAGAGGGTAAAATAGAAATGGACAGAATCCACTGATCTCCTCCTGAAAGAGATCCCCAAAGGAAAACTCCTAGGAATATCGTAGCCAAATTCCAGAGTTCCCAGGTCAAGGAGAAAATAGTACAAGCTGCCAGAAAGAAACAGTTCAAGCACTGTGGAAACACAATCAGGATAACACAAGATTTAGCAGCTTCTACATTAAAGGACCACAGGGCATGGAATATAATATTCTGGAGGGCAAAGGAGATAGGACTACAACCAAGAATCACCTACACCCAGCAAAACTGAGTATAAGCCTTCAGGGGAAAAAATGGTCATTCAGTGAAACAGAGGACTTCCAAGCATTCTTGATGAAAGACCAGAGCTGAATAGAAAATTTGACTTTCAAATACAAGACTCAAGTGGAACATGAAGAGGTAAACAAGGTTGAACTGTTTACATTCCTGCATGGAAAGATGATATTTGTAACTCATGAGACCTTTGTCAGTATTAGGGTAGTTGGAGGGAAAAAATTATATGTATGTAGATAGACAGACAGACAGATAGATAGATAGATAGATAGATAGATAGATAGATAGATAGATGGCACAGGGTGAGTTGAAGATGTAGGGGTCATATCTGGAGATTAAAATTAAGGGATGGGAGAGGATGATACTCGGAGAAGAAGAAAGGGAGAGGTAGAACGGGGTAAATTATCTCACAAAAAAAAACAGAAAAGAAAAGGCTCTTATAGTGGAGGGGAAACGGGGGAAGGTGAGAGGGAAGCAGTGAATCTTATTCTCATAGGATTTGGCTTAAGGAGTGAATAACATACACATTCAATTTGATATGGAAATCTGCCTTACCCTACAGGAAAATAGGGGGAGAAGGGGTCAAGAAAGCAGGGGGATGGTAGACAGGAGGGCAGATTGGGAAAGGGAATAATTGGAAGCAAATACTTCTGAGGAGGGACAGGGTCAAAAGAAAGAATAGAATAAATGGGGGGGGCAGGATAAGATTAAGGGAAATAGAGTTAGTTTTTCACAACATGTCTATTATGGAAGTGTTTTGCATAACTGCACATGTATAACCTATATTGAGTTGCTTGCCTTTTCAATGAGGGTGGGTGGGGAGGGAGGAAGGGAGAAAATTTGGAACCCAAAGTTTTAAAAACACATGTTTAAAAAAAGAGTTTTCACATGCAACTGGGAAATAAGAAATACAGGAAATGAGGTACAGAAGTCTATCCTGCCCTACAGGAAAACAGAAGGGGAAGGGGATAAGAGAAGGGAGGGAGAGATAGAAGAGAGGACAGACTAGGAGAAGGGGTATTCAGAATGCATGCCATCTTGGGGTGGGGGGATGGGCAAGATGGGGTGAAAATTTGGATCTCAAAATCTTGTGGAAGTAAATGTTGAAAACTAAAAATAAATACATTTATATTAAAAAATTAAAAAAATAAAAGCAGAAGTCTGATCATATCATCTTCCTATTCCATAAGCTCTATGGATATCTATTATCTCTAAGATTACATATGAAGACTTCTGGTGTTTAAAGCTCTTCATAACTTGGCTCTTTTCCTGCCTTTCCAGTCTTTAATAATACTCCCCTTTATAAAACCTATAATCTAGCTATACCAATCTACTTGCTGCTCCTCACACGACATTCCATCTCCTTTTGTTATATCTTTGCAACTGCTGTCCCTCATACCTGGAACACTTTCCTTCCTCTCTTCTGCATCCTGGATTCCCTGAAGCTTCAACTGACCCTTCCTGGTTCTCCTAGCTGCTACTGCCTCCCTTTCTGAGATTACATCCATTGTCTCTCTCTCTACATATATATACATATATATATATGTACACACACATATGTATATATAAGGCATGTGCAATATATATACACACATACGTTATATATGTGTGTATAGTTATATGTATATATGTGTACATATACACATATATATCTCATATATCTAGTTAAACTATTTTCATTTTTGTTTCCTCCATTAGTATTCGAACTCCTTGAGGACAGTGACAATGTTTTTGCCTTTCTTTGTATCCCTAGACTTTACCAGAGTGCCTGGCACATAGTAAAGACTTATTGACTGACGTTCTTTCTGCATCTTCTGCTTCCCCTGGTATCTTCCCTATTCCATTTCCCTGGCTTCTCAGTGTGTTCCTCTTCTGTCCCTCTATTCCTCTGCTTCTTCCCTGTTTTCTCCTCTCCAATGGGTCTCTGGTCCATTCAATCTCCCTGGTGCTCACTTTCTCCTTTACTTCCCACCTCCCCGAAAAGCAGGGATAGAATGGAAAGGTCCCAGTGATCAGAATCAGGACACTTAGATTCTAGGTCCCTCTCCACTGCCTACCAGTTAACTGGTAGTGTAATCTCAGGCAAGCCATTCTGCGGCTCTGAGTCTCAGTTGCCTCAGTTGATCAGATGAGGCAATATATATGAAGGATTTGCAAACCTTAAAGAGCTGGCAAATTGTGAATTATTATTAGCTCTCTGTAAAATAGTAAAATAATACCTTTCTTGCTCAAGGTAAAGAGCTGGGCCACTCTCAGAATTTGGATTCCATAATTTAGACTATGTCCCTCCCATCTCCCAGACAAATGTGACCCAAATTACCTTTTCCCCACAACTTCTGCCTTTTTAGGTCCTTCCGCTGGGCAAAATTATGTATTTTCCTCCTCTTCTCCCTCCTCCTTCTCGTCCTCCTTCCCCTACTCATTCTTTGTTGTTGTTGTCGTTCAGTCATTTCCTACTCTTTATGACCCCATTTGGGGTTTTCTTGGCAAAGACACTGGAATGGTTTGCCAGTTCCTTCTCAGCTGTACAGATAAGGAAACCGAGGCAAACAGGGTTAAGAGATTTGCCCAGGGTCACACAGCTAGTAAGTGGCTCAAATCAGATTTGAACTCACGAAGAAGGATCTTTCTGACTTTAGGCCTGGTGTTACTTTGCCACTTAGCTGCCTTCATCCTACCTCTAGGAAAAAGGGGATGGGGGGGCTGTCTCCTGACCCTGCTCTTTGTCCCTCTACAGTGCTGGCAATGGTTGGTGGTGGGTGCCTGTGGTGGCTCCCATGGTAGGCGCTGTGTTGGGCACTGCTGCATACCAGTTGCTGGTGGGTCTGCATCATCCTGAGGATCTGGAGCCTGCCCGGTAGAAAGCCTCTGAACCAACGTCCCAAACTTACCTCAGAGAGCAAACTGTGATATCCTTTCTTTTTCCAACTTTACCACAGACATTTAAAACAAACAACAACAACAACAAACAAAACTATATCTGATAGTACTTACAATAAATATGTCTGGATCCCAATACCAACAGCAACTAAAACCATTTAACTTGATAATCTCTTCTACTATTTATGGTTTTACAAATTCGATTTGGTTAAATTGGACTGGCTGACTTGTACATATACTCCATTTCTCGTCCCTTAACCTTTGCATTGGCTGTTCCCTATGCCTAAAATACATTCCTTCCTCACCTCCGTATCTTGGAATCCTTGATTTCATTCAAAATTAAGCTCAAGTGCCATGAAACCTTCTCTGAACCCCACTCCACCCCCAGACTTCTCTCCCCAAATTACCTTTTATGTATTTTTTTGGTATATATTTATATATGTACCTGTTGTCTTCCCTGATAGAATGTAAGCTCTTTGAAATCAGGGATTGTTAGTACAGTGCCTAGCACACAGAAGGCACTTAAATGCTTGTTGATTGATTGAACTACATGGGAGGTCCCTTCCAGCTCTGAGATTCTGTGATTTTTTGAAATATTACCAATAATTATCATTACTATCTCCTATGTGCCATAACACTAGCAGCTTACAATAGGATAAAGGGCAGGGTCGTGTACAGATAAGCCTGATACATGGTAGACAAGGGAAGAGACCTAGACATAGTGCTTGTGAAATTTAAGAAAGGAAAGATGGATTTCAACTGGGGAGGGGTCAGGAAGATGGGGTTTGAATGAGGGAGGGTTTGGTGGAGAAAGAGGCACTTTGAGCAAGCGGGGACCTTGAAGAAATAAGGTTTCAACAGGTAGAGATGAGGAGGGGGTGCATTCTAGGTATAGGAGGTAAGTCTCTGGGAATGTATGTAAGAGGATAGGGTAAAGCTAAAGTCTGAGATAACTAGAAATCCAGATTAGGGAAGGGCATTAGTATGAAATAAGGTCGGAAAAGGTGGAAAAAGGTAGTTTGGAACCCGATTGTGGAGAGCCTAAAATGCCAGCCTAAGCGGATTGTAGTTTATTCTGGGGTAATAGGAAGCCCTTGAAGATTAGTGAGCAGAGAATTGATGTGTTCAAATTTGTGCATTAGAAAAAAGTATTTTGGCAACTATGTGGCTTGGGTTGGAGAGGGTAGAGACTGGAGGGATGCTGGTTAGCAGGCTCTTTTAAGTTAATACAGACAAGATGAAAGGATCTGAATTACAATAGCGCTGGATGAGAATAGCTGTGGATGAGTGATGGGAGAGTGGAAAATGGGTTCAAACTGGTGGAGGAAGACCCTGTTGAACAGCTGAATTGTTACATAGTTGTAATTCCACTGGAGACAACATTCCTTTTTGCCCTGGGCAGAGTCTGTATATGGGATGGGGAAGACTACCTGGAGGCTGTGGTCTTCCGTCTTGAGTCTCTTGAGTCGTCTGAGGTACTCATCACACTTCTCAAAGAAGGCTTGGAGAAGTGTGTTGGGGGGGGGTTCGGGGGGGGGGAGTTCCCTGGGAGCGTCAGTTCTTAAAAATGACCGCCAGAGGACGACATGAAAATAGCTAGATGCTAGGACACCAGGGAGCCTAATGGGAAAACAAACGTGGGACAGACACTGCATCCTTGACGCCTGAGAAAGCTTCGCTAGTCTTGGCCATCCCCTTTCCCACCCCTCTCCTCGCCCCCAGAAATATCCAAATACCCTATTTCTTTCAACCCTGGCTAAATTCTAGTCACCCGAGTATCATTCCTTACCACCCCTGGGGCCCCTCCCTTGACTCAGGCACCTTCAAAGGTTAGTTAGGGGTGGGGGAATCTGTCCCCGACACTAGAAGACCTGGGGAAGAGAGGGAATGAGTGAGCCAGCTAAGGAGCGGTCTTAGTGCCGCCTCTGCTGCTAATTATAGGGTTCCGCCCTTCCCAGTACCCAAGGCCCGGAGATGGGGGAAACTGAGGCACGGGAGGCACAACATCGACTTCTAGGAGCTTCTCCCAGGAGAAGAAGGAATGCACTGAGATGAGCTAAGGCGAGAAAAATGCAGGACACGGGGCAACTCTACAGGGCATGAGCAGAAGGGGTAAGTTGGTGAAGCAGCCTCTAGAGGGAGACCCTTCTCACTCACCACTTCCTCAGCCTCGCCCCTTCCACAGCATAAAGGAGATGCTCCGGCAGTCCTTTTAGACGCAGAGAAATTTTCACAGCTTTCTCGTTCCCTTCAGAAATCCAAAACCTAACTAACCTCTCTCTGCCGTCCTGTCCCTAACACGGACGGGGAATGGGAGGGGATGGGAGCGGTGACCAATAAGGGGTAGAAGGGATTGTGTTACAAGACTGCGGAGGTTCAAGGGTTAAGACCTTCGCCTTGCCCCGCACAAAGATGGCGGCACCCACCTCACCTTTCCCGCCCCCCCATCTCCCGCTCCCCAAATCCCCCCTCTCCCGCCCCCCGCCCTCTACAGATGTCTCCGTCACTTCCGCCCCGCCGTGGCCGAAACTGACACAAAGTAGCAGCCCGAGGCCCAGGGGGGAGCTGGGGCTGTAGCTGGGGTGGGGGGGCGGGAGCCCGCGGGGAGCCGAGCGCTCCCCGCCCCAGCCCCCGGCATGGGCAGGACAGGGCCACCGGGGCCGGGCGCAGGGCGCTGAAAGCTGAGGAGAGGTGAGGGGGCAGCGGAGCCCCGTGGGTGTATAGTGCGGGGGTGCTGGAGCGGCGGAAAGGGGATGAGTCGGGGACATTGGGAGAGGCAGAGCACGGAGTGGCCCGGGGATGATGAGAAGGGATAGAGGAGGGGAAGAGCGAGGTGCCTCTCGGGTACATATAGTGGGGGAAACGGGGAGCAGGGATGAGACTAGAAGAGAAGATGGGGGACCTGGGAGCAGATGGGTGGGCAAGCCAGGGACAAACGGGGATTTTTGGAGAGGAGTGAGAGAAGGTGGGGAAATCTGGAGGTAGAGTGAAGAAGGAGGAACTGACGACTGGCTTACATGAGGATTGTTTAGGACACTTGGGGAATGAGTTATGAAAGCTAGGAAGGGCTTGGTGGGATGAGTTGATAGGATTACTGGGAACTAGGAAATTCGAATATTGGAGAGCTTGGGAGAAACTCAAGGAGGGGAGGGGCATGGGAGGTAAGAATATTGTGCAGAGGAGAGATTTGGGGCTGAGTACTAGGAAGTGATATTGAAGGAAAAAAGATTTGGGAAAAAGGAGACTGAGTGCTTGGGAAAAAAAAAGGGATTTGGGGGAGATCTAGGACCGTCTGGGTGATTTTTTATCTTTGAGTGTGGGGTGGTAGAAAAACTGAAGATGGTGAGAGAATGGGGCAGTGAAGCTTTAAGAACAGAATTGATAGAGAAAAGAGGGCCAAATTCCTTTGTATGAGGGCCTTACTCCCCACCTTAAAGTCGGGGAGAAGCAGATATTGATTGACCAGTGGAAGGAAATTAGGAGCTGTGGACTTCCAGGGTTCAGTTCTTGATTTTGGGAAGTGGGTTGGTGGGAAAAGCAATGACCTACGATGCTTGGATTCCATGTTCTTTCCTATTTATACTTGGACATATTCTCTACATGTCTGTTTCAAGATCCTCTGGAAAAGAGGGAGAGGGACTCTCTCTGGAGACAGGGTAATATCTTGGCTTGGGAAGAGGAGTTATCACAACTATTCTCCCTCTCTTCAGCCCCAAAGCAGCCCAGCTTCTTTCCCATTGGTAGCTATTTATACATGGTGGGTTGTCTCTAGAAGGGACTGGGGGAGTGTGGAGGTGGAATCTGGTAGCCGTGCTTGACCCTGATCAGTCTCAGAGGCTAGGCTTGGGAGGAAGGTGAGGTATGGACCCCCTCTCCTATGATCTCTTCCACTCCTCTTTCTAAGTATAGAGTTCCTGAAACTAGATGGAGTTGGGGTGAGAGGACTCCCAAGGGTTGGGAGTTTAATTTTCCAATTTGAATCTTCCCAGAGTCTGAGACATTGAAATAATTTTCTTGGCAGGGATGGGAGGCATCCAAGGCTCCTGAGAGGAGTTTATGTCCCTTTCATTAACCACCTACCATTGGATTCCCTCCCCAGGGCCTGATAGTGGTCTCCAAATTGCTTTCAAACTCCAGGGTGGGGCTGGGATTACTGATGGAGTCACAGGAACCTCGTGATGTCCTATCCTCACTTCAGTTCTCTCCCTTCACCCCCATCACCCCACCCACCCATGAGTCATCCCCCAGACTGGGTGGGGTTGGTATCTTCAAAATGTGGATAAGGCTGTATCTCCTACAATTTCTGAGCTAAACCCCCCAGGTTCTGAGGTTAGGAAGTGGGGCAGGGCAAAACTTTTGGCTAACTTGATCCCTGATTTAGGATTTGAGGTGAGACTTTGAGCCAGCTTAGGGAGAACATGGTATGTGTGTGACTGGGGCTCCAGCCAGAGTCTGTAATTACATAGGTTGAGTAGACAGGCAATTAGTATCTCTTGGGGCTGACAGGCTGTGGGGTGTGTCTCACAGACAGAGAAGGAGGGAAAGCCTCCACCCCCTTGTATAAAGGGAAAAGGAGGTGGTGAAAGGGGCAGGTACCAGGATGGCAACTTTCTCTGGACCAGGCTTAATTAGGGAGGAGATGCTTCCAACAGCCTTTTGGTGGACAAGCCATTTTAAACTCTTTGGAATATGTGAAGGGAGTGGAGAGAAAGAAGGAGAGAGTAGCATAACAGAAAGGTCCTAGTACCTATCCTGGTCCCCTGTTCTCTGGGCAGGAATAGAGTGCTTTCATGTTCCTGAGCTAGATGTTGATGGGATAGTTCCCTGCGAGAACTTTGGAGACTTCTCCATCAAACAGAGGAAAGAGAGCCGGTTAGCTAGCCCCATTCTAAGAGGAAGAAATTTGGGTGCTACTTGTACAGGAAGTGAGGGCCACACCTCTGATGTGAGCTCCTTTGGAGGAGGTAATAATAGGAGCCCC